CACTAGGCAACAGGAACAGTCCCTCCACTCCCAGATCCAAGCCCAGCACAGCACTGGGCACGTGGAGAGGCTGCCCGGTTCAGGGCCATGAAATCCGCAAGCATTTCTCTGCCTACCTTCCTGAGCAATGCACAGGCAGGGTGCACACCCAAGGACACACATCTTCCAGGACTCCCGCACACCTCTGGTCATCATAGGAAAGGAAGGCCGTCTCTTCAGGATTGATAGTGAGCCCTGCATGGCCAGTCCATCTGGAAAGCATAAAGACAAATGTGTATTTGAGAAACATATCCGGATTCTCAGGTAACACAACCCATCCCAACGTTTCCCCTAGGTAAGCCTTGCATCAGCCTATCAAGCACCTCTACCCTTACGAGTGACTGCAGGGTGTGATGCCATGAGGGTAGGCAGGTGTGTAGCTGTGTGTGCAAGTGGCCCTGGAAAGAAGATTCTGGACCTGAACAAACATTGCCTTGGGCTCAGCATCATGTCCAGCTTCCAAACAAAGACGGATGGAGCCTTCAAAAGCAAGAACGTAGGTCTGACTTCAAGATGCTCTACAGTAGTCTATCCATTCCATCTTCCATTGTGGGTCCTTCTGAACAAACCGCAGCAATTCTGCGTACACCCTCTTCTTGACTGTGGGTGTGAGGTCGACTTGGACACAGTGTCCTGTCAAGCTGCCATAGGTAAATCTCATCTGATAGAAACCAGTTCCCACCACAACAACACACAGCAGCCCACATCAGGTGGCACTGTGGCACTCTAGCAGAAGAATACGGTTTTAAACGTAGAGACTTGAACAGTGAAGGCCAGGAAAATCCTCCAGGAAATTAAGGACTAATTGTCCTTACTGGCCAGCAGGTAACCAGACAAGAACGACTCCTCCTCTGCCACCATGCCCCAGGGTAAAACCCCATTGAACCTAGAACACATTCCCCTCCAGAGACCACGCACTTCCTTCTCCAGGAAGATTCAGGGCCCTGATCTCTGGACATATTATAACGACTCGGCTGAGCTGACCAAAGGAGCATCCTCATACCTGCAAGGGAAGGCCCAATAAAAGTAGCCTCGGTCACTAAACCAGTAAGAACAGGGAGCCTGAGGAAGGACAGCCACAAAAGATTTAATTTTCATGACTTGACAACCTAGTTTCGACAAGTGACCACACCCCTGGCAGGTAAGAACACAAACCCCCCGCCCCCCCAAGCTCAACGCTGCATCCACAAAAACAGCAGAAACTGAAGTAAAACACAAAATAGTAAGAACCAATGCTGGTCAGCCAGCTGTCTGGAACAGGCCACTGCACGTCCTCAATATGCTAAAATTAGCACCACTGGAGGCCAAAATATATACCAAGTGATCAAGCTGGACCCCATAGCACCATGTACAAGACCCTGGAAACACCCCTAGAAGGGAGCAACTGGAAGTCCCCTTGGGGCCAAAAGAGAGGCCTGAGAAACTGAACAAGTGGGAAGAGCATGTCCCACGCCAGACCGAGGAGTCACAGGAGGACCTCCCAGGCATGGAATGTCAAGGATCATCTTGATTCCAGACCTAGGTCCCCAACACAGTCCATGGCTGGCCACTGTGCATCAGATCAGGTGAGCAGTATAATTAGACAAGCTCTCAACTGCAGCACCGTGACCGCATCATACCCCTGTCCCCACCCCAGTGCCATGGGGGACCCAAATTTCCTCACCAAGCCAAAGGCAAGAACAGACTCACAATTTGCCAGGCCTGAGGCTCTAATCTGAAACCACAGAAGCTTCTGCTCTGTGTTCCAACATACAAATCAAAGGGCTACATCTGAGGCAGGAACCTGGCCATGGTCTCCACGGGCCTGTGCCATAGACACACAACTTTTAGAACCATAATATGTGGTAGTAGGTGACAAAATGACTAGCCATTCACCCGAAATCCATCAAACATAAGCACCTGACTGATGCAATGAAAATAATGACAGTAAATGAGGGACGCTCTCAGGCCGATTCTCTGAGTGGTGCTGGCATGAGTGTGATCAGGGGTAGCTGTCCCTCACTCCCATTGTCCTGGGGACACGACACGTGCTGGACCTCAGATCCGATGAGAACGACGGTAGGAGTTCTCACTCATTTTGTTCAGCTTCCAAGGAATGCTTTTGAGGGAGTCATCATCGATCCGAGCACATTGTTCGAAGAACAAAAGCCATGCTGAGGCAGGCTTGGTGGCTCACTTAGTGTCCTACACTTTTCCGGAGCAACCAAGAGGGGCGGTCAATCCACCCTTGAGACAAACCCAGCGTAACATCAGGGACGTGTTGACAGGTATCTGTGTCAGGCCGATGAGTTCCTAAGCCAAATGTCAGGCGTGGGGAGAAGAAATCTTACCGTCCTGACTGCTCTTCAGCATGGTGTACACCCAGGGACACGCTCCTCCAGGACTCCCACACGCCTCCGGTCATTGAGAGAAAAGTTCTCTCTTCATGGTTGACAGCGAGCCTTGCATGGCCACTCCATCTGGGAAGTGTAGAGAAATCACACGCACGTTTGAGAAACATACCCAGGTTTCTCAGGGAACAATATCCATGCCAACCTTTTCCCCGGTAGCCTTGCGTCTGTCTATCACATTCCTCTGTCCCTCAATAATGACTGCAGGCATGTGGGGCACCATGGGGGGGCGTGCAGCCGTGTGCAGGTTCCTGTCTCTCTCAGGAGTGACTGCAGTCGTGTGGGGCACCATGGGGGGGGGGTACAGCCGTGTGCAGGTTCCTATGTCCCTCAGGAGTGACTTAAGGCATGTGGGGCACCATGGGGGGGCGGCGTACAGCCATGTGCACATGTCTTGAGCAGAAGACTCGGCACCTGAGCAAGCCCATCTTGGGCCCAAAACACTAGCAACACAGCCTGATTCCCAACATAGGAAGACGGGTCCTTCAAAAGACATGACCAAACTCTGACATCGAGAGGTTGGTGCAAGTCAATAGACTCCCTCTTCCACAGCCACTCCTTCTGAACACACCACACCCATTCTACACCATGTCAGTAAGGAGCCTGTTTATCTGCCAGGTGTCATGAATAAACCACCCTCTGAGAGACTTGTGACAGCCTCAACAACACAGCCACCCATCACACGGAGCACCAACGGCCTTCTGGCGGACAGAGCCTGTGCTAATCTTGAGTGGCCATGTGAGTTCAGCGATGTCTTTGAACTCACTCAGCTGAACGCCCTCCCAGTCCACTGCTAACCGTGCAGGAATGGCTCCTCTTCACTACCACGACCCAGGGTGACACCGCGCTGGACCAGGGTACATCCCCTCCTGGGACCTGGCGTTTCCTCACCCAGGAAGATTCAAGGCCTGACCTCTGTGGAAATGTTACAACACTCAGCTCCTGGACGCAGGAGCATCCTCATGCCTGTGATGGAGAGCTGCCTCCATCACACGCCCAACATGGAGCCGTGAGCGCCAGGGACCAGCCATGAGAGATCTGGGTTTTGCATGAGTCGTCCACCTGGACTCAACAAGTGAGCTCACCCTTGGTAGGTGCTCCCAGGAACGACCTCACAAAGCTCAGATGGTCCATTCAGGAACACGAGGACAAGAAGTGAGAACATATGTATCGTCCACCCAAAGACGTGAACTTCCAAGGGACCAGTCAGTGCTCGGGGTCCCAGCATTCCAGCCGCTGCCTGCCTACAGGTACCACACAAGATTCTAAACCACCAGGAAAAGATGTACTTTTTTTCTGCACCAGAAAAAAGAAAATCAGAGCACCCTGAAGATATACTTTGACCTTAAAATTGCCAAGCTACAGGACAAAAGGTCAAAGGGAATGTTCCCGTAAGCAGTGTGACCGGTGCTGGCCAGCTGGCAGGCTGTGACGGGCCACTGAACCACCTCAATGCACTAAAGACAGACCATTGAGCCCCACTGTCTGAAAAGATGCCAAGTGAAGAACCTCCACCCACTACAACACCATATGCGAGGCCCTGAACCTTCCTTAGCAGGAACCACTGTCAGCCCCATAAGGGCCTAGAGAAATCTCGGAAGCCAAGAACTTCCCTGGATCAAACGAAGACAGTACATCCCAAGGAAGCAAATGGAATCACACACCAGCTGTCCTCTTGGTTATCCACCCTGCCTGTCCAGGCCACCATCCACCACAGCATGCTCACTGCACAGTCCATGGATGGCTGTCGTGAATATGCCTGGTGAGTGTGTTACCAACAGGCACTTCCCACTGCAGCAGTGAGGGTCACACCTACGATGTACACTGACACCTTGGGGAATCAAGGCCCCACGAGTCTAAAGGCAGGGACAGATACTGCTACCCGCATGCTGGGCTCCCATCAGAAATAGGCAAGTGTTGCTCTTCAATGCCCGTGAGAGACCATCAGTGCCCACGTGTGAGCAGGGACCTGGCAAACACAGACACGCTGTAAGCTCACTGGGACTAGGCCAGCCATGTTCTGCGACTCCTGGGATGGAAATGCTCGGAGGCCACCAAGCCAACAAAAACTGGACATTCAGCCCAGAACCTTTCACTCATGGATGCCCATTGAGAGGTGAAGCCACTGACCCTCAGAAAGAAGGTGCTCAAATGCTGCCGTGTTGGGTGGTGCTTGCAAGAAGAGTGTGACCAAGGAGAGCTGTCCCTAACTCCTATGGTCCCTGAGGCACTCAACGTGCTGGACCTCAGATCCGATGAGAACGACGGTATGAGTTCTCACTCATTTTGTTCAGATTTCCAAGGAATGCTTACATGAGGGAGTCATCATCGATCCGAGCACGTACTGGGATACTGGAAAATTTAGCAAGGCTGGCTGAGCAGCTCATTGCGTCAAAGAGTTCAGAGTCCTTCAGCTGCCTAGAGGATCAAGATCCGAGCCACAGAGCAAGAGGGACACTTGATCCACTGTTAGAGCAAAGTCCTCAGGCCACTGAAGACACCAAATGAGCCACCTCTAAGAAATCAAAGAGCAGTTGGCTGAACATGTAGCAACGCAATGCTCACCTTCCCAATTGTTGCCTTGGAGGGGTGCACACTCAGGGCCAAGTATCTGCTGAGGTTCCCGGGAACCTCCAATCATCCAGAGAGAAATGTCTTCTTTTCTGGGCCGAAGAGAACTCTGCAATGCAACTCCACCTGAGAAATGCACAGAAAAAACATATGCATGTTTGATAAACATTATAAATCTTCGGGTAATTAATCCATACCATCTTTTCCCCCTCAGTAGGACCTGAATCTGATTTTCATGCACTTCTGTCCCAGACATATTGACTGAAGGCGTGGGACAGCATGCATGTCAGGTCAGTGTGCACAGGTGCATGTGTGTGTTCATGGGCAGGGACTCCTCGTAGGACTGAGCATGCCCTGGGCACTGATGCCTGGCTGCACCCCTGCGCCTCCGTAAAGGAAGACCTGTTTCTTCAAGTCACAAAAGGGAAAATTGATCCCATGGGGCTGCTAAACTAAGCCAAGTGCTCCTTTCCTCAGAACCATTCCTGCTAAACAACCACCACAAGAAAAACACACTGATTTCACGCACTTTTGGATGTGACATCAATGTCGCCATTTCATCCCCGAAAACTGTCCAACATGAACTGCGCCTGATGGAAACCTGGTGACCACCCACAGAGCCTGGCTCCATCAGCACAGGAATGATGGGTCAAAGGATGCTGGCGTCATCTGATGTGACATCAGGCCAGGCTCCTGTTCCTGCTGGCGAAGCCAAATGCCCTCAGAGGCACAAAAAGAAACCCGAGTGACATTCGTGGTCTTCGCCACAAAGGACTCAAAGCCCAGTTGAAACTTGGATGAAAACTCATCCAGAGACACTGCGTATGTTGACCCCTGGGATTCAACGTAACCAACCCCTCCGCACTGGACCACCACCAGGTGACATCGTAGAGCTCCAATTCATCCGTGAAGACGGGGAGGAGCTCAATACAGCACATCGTATGCACAGAGCACGTGAACATTTTCCAAGGCAGAAATATGTCCACAGCTCTGCGCCTAGAGCCATGGCACCCACAGTCCCTGCACATGTTCACAGGCTCCCACTGTGAATCTGGATCCCACTGAGTGAAATGGGAGTCGCGCTGCCAAGAAGACAGCGACCTCCCAGGAAGCATGTTGGCCTGGAAGGCTCCCAGCCAAGGGAATAAAGGACAGGAAGTGTCAAGCAAGTCATTCAAACCAAGAAGTGCTGGGAAGCAGCCATGGCCCAGGGGAACTCTTAAAATGGACAAGGAGAAAAACCACTAATGCCACTACAGGAATGAAGAAGTTATGTGAACAGAGGCCAGAGCCGACTGTGCCATATGCAAGATCCCTGAACATTCCCTGGCAGGCACCCCCTATATGTCCACTCATGGCCCTGAGAGTCCAAGATGCCCAGTGCTTCCACTAGGAACACAAGGAAACAGCACAGCCCATGGAGCACAGGACGACATGTTCTCTCCTTGCACTTTCATCGCTGTCTAAGCCATCAGCCACTGCAGCACCGTCAGTTCAGAGCTGGGTCCATGCCCAGTCCAGGTATGCCCACCTTGCATGTGGGCTGGGCAAGTAGTTGAGCTAAAGAAGCTGCCAGCTGCAGCGCCATGGCCTAACCATCCCTCCATATCCACCCGCAAAACCCATGGCGGGTTCAAATTTCCTCACTGAGCGAAAGGACCAGAACCAGTTCCAAAAATTGCCAGCCCTAGGACTCCAATCAAAACCATGGAAGCCTCTGTTCTTACAATCCACACAAAGAACCCAAACAGCGACACGCCATGGTTGGCAAGACCAAACTACACCGCTTTAAGGAGTAGATAGGAAGAAGCAACAAAGACAAATATTGGCCTGAGCCGACCACCTATCATAAACACCCAACTAACGCCATGCAAATATGGACACTGAGTCGTGCTTGCAAGAGCGTGACCAAGGGGAGTCGTCGCTCACTTCTACCGTCCCTGGGGCCCTAAACGTGCTGGACCTCAGATCCGATGAGAACGACGGTTGGAGTTCTCACTCATTTTGTTCAGCTTCCAAGGAATGCATTTGAGGGAGTCATCATCGATCCTGCACGTTTTAGGAGAGGTGAACTACATGGCTCCTGTGAGCCGGTGACCTCAGTGTCCTTCGGTGTCCTGAGCACACAGATCCAAGCAACTGAGCAAACGGGACCGTCAGTCCACTTTTGGAGCAAAACCCAGCACATCACTAGACGCACGTGGACAAGCTGCTTCCAGCAGGTCCATGAAATGCTAAACCAAATGGCAGAACACGGGTCGGAGGAATGCTTACCTCTGAGCGATCCATGGGCATGGTGCACACCCTGGGACACACTACTTTCAGGGATCCCGGGCACCTCCAGTCAAAGGACAGAAAGCTGGTCTCTTCATAGCTGGCAATGATCCTGGGAGGGCCAATCCACCTGTGAAGTGTAGCGACATCACATGCACATTTGAGAAATGTACTCGGATTCCCATAGGAAGTTCCTTTCCAACATTTCCCCTGGGCAAGCCTTCAGTCCACCGGACATGCCCCTACCCCTCAGGAGTGACTGCAGGCATAGGTGATATCATGAGGGAAGTGGGCATGCAGTCGTGTGTGCGTCTGCCCTACCCAGAGGACTCGACACCTGAACAAACACACTGTGGGCCCAGATCCTAACATCACACTCCGGTTCTCAAAAAGGAAGATGTGGCCTCAAGACAAAGCCTGAAACACGAACCAGGAAGACTCTGAAACAGTCAACAAACTCTCCCTTTCACAGCCGTTCCTTCGGAACAAATCACACCAATGCCACTCACGCCCTTCTCCTGTCTGAGTGTGATGTCAATTTGGACATTCTGTAGCTTCACAAACACCATGCTGGAACAACAAAACCACCCACATTTTGTGGGGTCACTGGCACCTGGCAGACACAGTCTCTCAGGGAGCACAGCCATGAAGTTTGCTTTCTCATGCCACAGCCTTTGATTCTGCAAGGGATCCCACCTTTAGCAGGTGATCCCACCAGGGACCTCACAAAGCACAAATGATCCAGTCATGAACACAAGGGCCAGAACTGAACTGAGATGCACCTTGCGCAAAACCAAAACCAAAGGCAACACGCGGCCCTCTCCCAACGGGGTGTCAGTCTCCTTGGTGGCAGCCCTGACATCCCAGCACTCATGGTCTCTGCCCACAGACTTCCAGGGAAAACCTAAATCTCCCAAAGGAGATGTAAGACTCCAGGGCCAGGAAAATCAAACCAGCCTGGAGAAAAACTTTGACCTTAAAATCATCAGTTCTGAGCAGGGCCAAGGGTCAAAGGGAATGTTCGACTAAGCAATGTACAGTATGCTTGGTGGACTGACCAGCTTTAATAAGCAACTGGACCTCATCAAGGTGCTCAAAACAGATAACCTTGTCCTCTCTTCCCTGAAATGGAGACACCAAGTGAGCCTTCAGCCAACTCAGTGCCATATACAAAGGATCCGAACCTTCCCTAGTAGACAGCAGTAGGCATCCCACCAGGGCCCAGATAAATTCCAGAGAAGCTGATGACCACCATGAAAACAGAGACAGTGCAAATCCACTGAATCACACCGACCTGTCCTCTTGGGTGAACTTCCCTTCCTGGACAAGACATCAACCACTACAGGGTCAACACAATACAGTACATACCTGAAACCTATATGACCTTATTATCCAATGCCACTACCATAAATTCAATAAAAAGAAAAAGAAAACACAGGGTCTTCACTTCAGATCATGGAGCACAGCGCAGTCCATGGTTGAGCACCACGCATGTGCAATAAGCAAGAATGTTACAAACAGGAGATCCCAATTGCTACGTTGGAGCAAATCATCTGTAATTCACTAACTCCGGGCATGAACATTCCTCACCAGGTCAAAAGCAAGAACCTGTCAGGCCTAGGGCTCTCACTATGTTCATGGTGACAAAGCCAGTACTTCAGAGGGTAATTCTGAGGCAGAAACCTGGCTTTCACAGATCCATGCCACGAGGGAACTGAGCCAAGGCCAATGCCATACTCTCCCACTCACAGGACTGAAATGCTAGATGAACACTACCCCAACAAAGACAACTCATATAAACTACTCCTGAATCATACAAAGTTTTGATTCATGGACACCCAACCATAGTGGAAGAGCTACAGACCCCTACAATAAAGTGCCCAAATGCTGATGTACTGGTTGGTTCTTACAATTGTGTGACCAAAATAAAGCTGTCTCTCACTCTTATTGCCCCCAGGACATGTAACACACTGGGCCCCAGTTCAAATGAGAAATACAGTAGGAGTTCTCACTCATTTTGCTTAGATTTCCAAGGAATGCACATGAGGAAGTCATCACAAATCCGAGCATATTCTGGAGTGTTGGAAAATGTACAAGACAGGTTGGACCACTCACGGTGTGAGCCAATGACCTGCCTTCCAGCAGCCTGCAGGAGGCATAACCCAGCAAATGAACGAGAGGAACACATCATTCTTGTAGGACAACCCCGTGTGCCATTCAGGACACCCAAATAGGCCACCTCTACCAAACTAATAAATCTAAAAGCTAACAGGTGAACTTGGAACAGAGCAACACTCACCTTCCTGAGTGATCCCTAGGCTCGGTGCACTCAGAGCCACAGAGCTGCTGTGGTTCCCATGAACCTCAGGTCATCCAGGGAGAGAAAGATCCTCTTTTCTTGTCTGAAGAACCTTGCAGGGCACCTCCACCTGAGAAGTGGACACAAATCACAGGTGCATTTGAGAAACATACCCAAATCCTCATATAATTAGCCCATGTCACCAGTGCCATGAAAACACTGACTACAAGCCAAGAGACTCTCTGATGCTGACCCCTGGGTGATTCTGCATGAGGGTGACCAAGGGGCGCTGTCCCTTACTCCTGCCTTCCCTGGGCCCTAAATGTGCTGGACCTCAGATCCGATGAGAACGACGGTTGGAGTTCTCACTCATTTTGTTCAGCTTTTCCAAGGAATGCTTATATGAGGGGGAGTCATCATTGATCCGAGCACATTCAGGGATGCAGGACATTTTGGTGAGGTACGGGGAAGCTCATCTAGTGAGCCAATTACTTCAGAGTTCTCCAGCGGCTTGGATTAACTGTGTCTAAACCACTAGGCAACAGTAACAGTCCATCCAACTCATAGATAAAGCCCAGCATAGCACTAGAGACACATGGATAGGCCTATGAAATTCTCAAGCAAATGGCAGAACTTGGGGCAGAGAAATGCTCACCTTCCTGAGCAATCCACAGATATGGTGCACACCCAGGGACACCCGTCTTCCAGGCTCCCGCAGCACGCCACCGCTCATCAAAGGAAGGTCGTCATTTCATGGTCGATGGTGAGCCTTGTACGGCCACTCCACCTGGGAAGTGTAGAGAATCACATGAACATTTAAGAAACGTACCCAGGGGCTCAGGTAGTGAGACACTGCCATCTTTTCCCTGGCGGTAATCGTTACATCTGACTAGCATGTTCTTCTGTCCCTCATCAACTGCAGGCATGTGTGATTCCGTGAGGGTAGGTAGGTGTGCAAGTGTGTCCACACAGGTCCGAGCACCTGAACTAGGACACCTTGAGCAAAGATCCCTGGAATCACACTGTGATTCTAAAAAAAAAAAAAAAAAAGGGTGAGGCACTGAGAGCCACCAGTGCAACAAACACTGTGAATTCAAAAGGAACCCTTGAATCATGGAAACCATGGATGGCGACAAAGCCACTGGCCCTCACCAGAATGCTCTCAAAAGCTGACAAATCAGCAGGTGCTTCCAAATGTGTGACCAAAATCAAGATGTCTCTCACTCTTACTGTCCCTGCAGCACTAACTGTGCTAGACTTCCCGTCTGATGAGAAGGACAGTAGGAGTTCTCACTCATTTTGTTCAGTTTTTCCAAGGAACCCATATGGGTAAATCATCATCGATCTGAGCCCATCCCGGAATGCACTATAATTTACAAGGCGCATGAACAGCTCATTGGGAGAGGCAATGACCTCACAGTCCTCCAATGGCATGTAGGATTCAGATCCCAGCCACTCAGCTAACTTTTAAAGGGAAATCCTACATGCCATTAAGGAAACCCCAACAAAAACCTCTAGCATCTATAAGAAATTCAATAAATGATGGCTGAACTTGGAGCACAGCAACGCTTACCTTCCTGAGTGATCCCCAGGCTCGCTGAGCCGTCAGAACCACACTTCCTCTGGGAATCATGTGAACCTCTGGTATTAAAGGACAGAAATGTCTTCTTTTCTTGGCCGAAAAAGAACCGTACAATGCAACTTCACCTGAGAAGTGGACAAAAATCATAGGTGCATTAGAGTAGTGTAGCCAGGTCCTCAGGTAATCATCCATGTCACCCTCTACACACTTCTGCCCCTGAGGATCACTGAAGGATACTGATGCAATGCACGTAGGCCAGTCTGAACGTGTATGTTGTATGTGTCTGTGGGCAAAGGCCTCCTCATATAAAGAAGCAAGCCCTGCATGCCAATGAAGGAAGACCCGTTCCTTCAAAAAACATAAAAAAGGGGAAGTTTTGGATGACGCTTGCATGCGTTGACCAGGGGGAGCTGTCCCTCACTCTTACCTTCCCTGGGGCCCTAAACGTGCTGGACCTCAGATCCGATGAGAACGACGGTTGGAGTTCTCACTCATTTTGTTCAGCTTTCCAAGGAATGCTTTTATGAGGGAGTCATCATCGATCCGAGCACGTTATGGGACGCTGGTTAACTGACCAGGGTAGGCTGACAATTTACTGGGTAAGCCAATGAACTGCCACCTCCACTGCAGTGGCAAATCAAGATCCACACCACTGAGCAAGAGGAAAAGTCAGTCACTCTTGCAAAAACCCCATGTACCACGGGGAACCTGTGGACAGGCTGCCTCTAGCAGCTCTAACAAATCCTACAGTTTGAAACAATTCAGGGCAGGGATGCTGACCTTCCTGAGCGATCCACAGGCAGGGTGCACACCCAGGAACACTTCCACCAGGACTTCAGCACACCTCCGGTCATCAACAAAAAGGAAGGTCGTGTCTTCTTGGTTGACAGTGACCTTGCATGGCCTCTCCACCTGGGAAGTGTAGAGAATAACATGCACATTTGAGAAACGTACCCAAATTCTCTGATAACAAGACCTTGACTGGTTGGTGCTTGTTCGAGTATGACCAAGGGAGCTGTCCCTCACTCCTACTGTCCCTGGGGTCTAAACGTGCTGGACCTCAGATCCGATGAGAACGACGGTTGGAGTTCTCACTCATTTTGTTCAGCTTTTCCAAGGAATGCTTATATGAGGGAGTCATCATCGATCCGAGCACATTCTGGGATCCTGGTTATGCTATCAAGTCAGGCTGGGTAGCTCAGGTAGTGAGCCAATGACCTCAGCATCCTGCACTGGCCTGCAGCATCCAGATTCAAGCCACTGTGCAAGGGGAACCATCAATCACTCTCGCAGAAAACCCCATGTACCACGGGGAACCTGTGGACAGGCTGCCTCTAGCAGCTCTAACAAATCCTAAAACGTCTGATATAATTTAGGGCAAAGGGATGCTGACCTTCCTGAGCGATCCACAGGCAGGATGCACACCCAGAAACACTTCCACCAGGACTCCTGCACACCTCCTCATCGAAGGAAAGGAAGGTTGTCTCCTCGTGGCTGAGGACGGAACTCCCACCTGGGAAGTGTAGAAAAATAACACGCACATTTGAGAAGCATACCCAAGTTGTCAAGTAACAAGACCCTAACTGGTGCTTCCAAGAGTGTGACCAAGGGGAGCTGTCCCTCACTCCTGCCTTCCCTGGAGCCCTAAACGTGCTGGACCTCAGATCCGATGAGAACGACGGTTGGAGTTCTCACTCATTTTGTTCAGCTTTTCCAAGGAATGCTTATATAAGGGAGACTCATCATCGATCCGAGCACGTTCTAGAAGCAGGACATGTTAGCAAGACAGGCCGAACAGCTCACCTACTGAGCAAATGACCTCAGAGTCCCCTAGTGGCCTGGAGTCTCCAGATCCAACAGTCAATACATTTGGAGCAAAACCCCATGTGCCACTGGGGACCTGTGGACACGTGACCACATGTAGGTCTATGTAATTCTAGCACTAATGGCAGAACGCAGGTGAGAGGAACACTGACCTTACTGTGCAATCCACAGGCAGGGTGCACACCCAGGGACACACTTCTTCCAGGACTCCCGGCACCTCCCATCATCCAAGGAAAGGTAGGTTTGTCTTTTCATAGAGAACCTCACTCAGCCTTCTGCCTCAGATAAACAGAAAAAAGGCAAAAATATAATCTCAGAAAATAGTCAACAGTAAGACAACAAAGCACTAAAATGTGTGCCACTGTGCATTAAGACCCGCATGCTGGGTTTCCTTCTTTTCCCCCAACCCTAGTGAGACCTTCAGCATCCATCACAGTGGCCCGTCTCCTTGTTAATTCAATCTTTATTTTGGGTCCTCATTCACTGTTCCAGAACCAACTTCCTACACACAGAATCCATCTACCTCTCTGTTTGAAGTCAGCGAAAGGAAGCGAGTCTTGGATCACTGCTCATACCTACAGGGCAACCGTCTCCTTAGCAGGACACCGGGCCCCGGTCTGAGAGCGAGACAAAGCTCACAGCTGCACCGATGCCACCGAGGCTCCGTGGACAGAGCCACGCTCTAGCGTCTCAGCTCTCCTGGTGAGGGCCACACATCTGGACCTCAGGCTGGCATCTGGACCGAGTCTCTCAGACCCTCAGACCCTGTGCTCCTGGCAGATCCAGACACGGCCCCTCCCCAAACGAGCACTCCCTCAGCCAGGATTACCTTCTTCAGGTTTCCCTAAATTATGAATAAAGAATAAATGTGCAGCCCTGGCCAGTTTGGCTCAGCGGTTAGAGCATCGGCCTGCAGTCCAGAGAGACCCGGGTTTGGTTCCCGCTAAGGGCACGTACCTCGCTTGCAGTTTGTCCCCAGCCCTGGTTGGGTCGTGCGGGTGGCAGCCACTCGATGTTTCCCTTTCACATCGATGTTTCTCTCTCTCTCTCTCTCCTTCTCCCACTCTATCTGAACAAAAAATGTCCTCGAGTGAGGAAAAAAAAAAAAGAATAAATGTGCAGTAGACATTCTAGAAGTAGATTTCAAAGAGATTTGCATTTAATAAAGGAAAAGATCAATAACAAAGATTCCTTTAACAAAGTAGGCACACCTAAGAAAGGAATCTATCAGCAAATTCTCTCCACTGAGCCTCTGAAGAATGAGCCCGAAGAATTTCACGTGCTGACCTCACTAACCACAACACACACAAGTAATTTCAAAAGCACCAAAGTAGCTGCTCACCTTTCTTCTCCCAAGTATGGTAACTTATTCTAACCTTTGACCTCCAGCCAAACATCAAGGAATATAAATCAGATCAGAAAATATCTGAATTTCATTTAAAAATCAAGTACAAGAGTTGGCTCTGTCATAAGTATTTATCAGACAGGCATCCCCACCCTTCCAGTGCTTGGCACATAATCAGTTGCTTGGTTCTTCACCGCCCTTGGCCCTTCGTTTCTTCACTTACTTCCCCTCTGAATTTTTTTTTTTCAAAAATCCTCACCTGAGGATACTTTTTTCCAATTATCTTCAGATCGAGTGGAGGTGGCGGGTGAGAGAAACATCAATGTGAGAGAGACATCAACTGGTTGCTTCCTGCACGACCCCAACCAGGGCCGGGGACTGAACCACAATCAAGGTATGTGCCCTTGTCTGGAATCAAACACGTGTCCGGGGACCAATGCTCTACCGCTAAGCCAAACCGGCCAGGGCACCCCTCTGAATTCTTCCCTCTACAACAGTTAATAATCCCTTCTATCATGCTGTGCAAAATAGAGACACAGCATTTTGACCTTTGAATGAGAACTTCTAAAACTGCAGAACACCAAATGAGGACTTTATGAGAATGCTCTACAACAGGGGAAAAGGAAGACAGATGGATCAGGGTGCTGCGAGACAGGTACTCTAGAAGAAAGCCAAACGAACACTGAAACTGTTACAAACAGCATAGACAAGCTGATGGCAAGAACAGAAAAACCGATGAGACGTTTCACTAGTTAAATGGAAATTCTAGGGACACCCCAATGGAACAGCACATTAGAAAGGGTGATCTTTCTTAGAATTTTACCAATTTCCCCTCTAATTTCTTTTTCAGAAATCCTGAACCAATGTCCTATTCTTTTCCGGTCTATTTAGTCTGACTTCGTCTGGACTATTTCCTCAGTGGTATTAATATGTTTGAAGACTATAGGCTATAGTTTTTTTGGTTTTTTTTTTAGAATATCCCTCAATTCGGGTCTGATAGTTTATGTACTTTTGTCTGAGACACTACAGAAATGAGGCTGTTACCCTCAATACCTCCCATCACAGATAGGAGATGATCATCTTGTAGTCCAGGAAGTGTCTGGCCAGGTTCTCCTGCAGGAGGTTATTTTCTCTTTGCAACTGGTAAGTATTTTATGAAGGAGATAAATGCAGACTTATAACAGGACCCTGCTACTCCTCAAATTTAATTCAAGAAGTTGTAGCATCTTTTGATGGTTCCCGGTTGAAGCAACTATTATGATTATTGTAGAATATATATTTTTAGTATCGTATCATTATGTTTACTAGTTTTGTTGTAAAGAACTTCACTTTTCACCCTATTCATCCATTCGTTATTCAGATGTTAGCTTAACAACATTACAACTGTCTTACCATCATGGGTCCATTTTCATGTCCTTGAAGAGATTTATCATGTCCAAACATCCCGAAAATTGCATCAAATTCAATGCCAGAGGTGGCTCATCGCTTGGTATCCATCGTCTCACATAGTCCATTTCCCTCAAAATTAACAGGAGATAAAAAGAAGTTAGAAATAACATAGCGCATTCCTCACTTTATAAACCAGTCAAATGTTTAAATACACTGTAGCCACTGTGGTAAAAAACCTAGCACTACTTCCCTGCTTATCATTTTGGCCAACAATCCAGCAAAGGGTCAGAATTCCAACTTCATTGTACTTGCAAGACACTAATGTTCCGTTCAGAATGGGGGGGTGGGTATGAACTCACTAGGGAGACACATTCAAAGGGGTCCATAGTTTAGAAATCAGACCCGGTGGTCATAAATTACAATTGGAAAAGTATACCAACAGCTCAGCAACTTTTTTTTTTTCTGGTGGTACATGCCCCTAGCGGGAACCGAACCCAGGACTCTCTGATCCGCAGGCCAACGCTCAACCACTGAGCCAAACTGGCTGGGGCAACAGCTCAGTGATTTTACATTCACATCATTTGGGGCTGCATCATTCCTCTGAGATCCTCACTGGCTTTTGCCCTGCTCCCTGCAGTCCTGGCCACGGCACTGCCTGTCTTGGGCCTATTCCAAAGTTGCTTCTTCTGTTTAGTGACCCTCCTATTATTGGCCGTTTCTCCTGGGCTTTGATCTGTGTCCCCATGACCTACAGTGCTCTACAAAATGTTCTTAAGAGGAACACAGTGGCCAGTCTCCTAAGCACTGACACCCCATATTTGTAGAGGACATTCTTTGTACATTTATACCACAGAATTTCCCATAAATCAATGTCCTGTTCGTATCCTTCCCGTCCCTGAAATACCTCAAAACTTACACCTTTTAGCCTGAGGAAATGCACCTGAGAATTCTTGTGGCCGTGCCATGTGACCCAGTGATCCCACTTCCAGGACCATACCCTAAGAAGCCTCAAACACCAATCAGAAAGAATATATGCATCCCTGTGTTCACAGCAGCACTATTTATAACAGCTAAGATCTGGAAACAGCCCCAGTGCTCATCAGTAGATGAGTGGATAAAAAAGCTGTGGTACATATACACAATGGAGTACTATGCAGCTGTAAGAAAGAAAAATGTCTTACCCTTTGAGACGACCTGGAGGGACCTGGAGAGTATTACGCTGAACAAAAGAAGCCAGTCAGAGAAAGACAAATACATGATCTCACTTACTTGTGGAATATAATGCATAAAATAAGTGATGAACAAAGAGACATGGAAATAGAGATAAGACTGACAACTTTCACAAGAAGAAGGGAGGGGTAGGATAGGAAGAGATAAATAACTTATATGCATATATGCACAACCAATGGACACAGACAACAATACTGTGAATAGGGGGATGGGGAGGAGGGTGTCAATGGGGGAAAAAGGAGAAACATCTGTGATAAAAATTAATTACTTTTTAAAAAAAACAACAACAAAAGAATTCTTATGGCTCTGACCTTAAAGACAAAGGCAAAATGAATATGACCTCAGAAATGTGCATTTCCCCAAAAGAGGTCTCACCCATCGATTTAGGAACATACACGTATTGTTAATTACCACCCACTGAAGTTTGTGATACACTAGCTGGGTTTTATTAAGTTGTGAAAAGTAGGATGAATCACATAATCAAACTCAACCTAAACTCAGCCTCTGTTATTTTGAAAAATAAATATCCTACTCGGCATGGTAATTGTAAGTAATACATGAGATAATCCATGAAACCATGTTTATCTCGGCATGTGGAGCATGCACTAAGAATTAACAAGTGCTATGTATGTATCATTGAAATACACACATTTACAACTACACACAACACTCCCACAAATGAAGCAGGGAAAAATGACCAGACCTCACTTCCACCATTTTTTAATATTCTCTCTATAAAGTTAGTTTATTGACCATATCCGAAGAAATGCATACATATATCATTTCAAATGGATGAACCACAATGTTGGTGCCTGAAACACAGTAACTCAATAACTGGTGGAAAAATAAACTTTTGAAAAACCTGGATTTTAATATCAATCACTTCAAACATACATTACTATATATAACGGAATACAATCCAAATAGATAAACAGATCATCAGTAAGTCCCCAAGCATGATGACTTGATGAACAGGTTACTTACAGTTTTACAAGTATAACTAAGGCTGCAATGAGTATACATCTTTGAACAAGACCTATTACATCCTATAGGTCAATTTCTAAAACTAAATTTGTTAGTGAAAATGTGCTAATTTCCATTGAATACATATTTCCCACTGTAACATACCAGGGGGCCAAAATTCTATACACTTTGTACCTCTTAATCTAATAGGTGAAAAAAGACAATTCTTGATTTGTTTCATTGTGTGTTTATCTGTGGGCACACATGCATTGATTTCATTCTATATTTATTATTTATAATTATTCCATATATTTAACTTTTTCATGATAAAGACTGATAAGGCTGGGCAAATGTTTCTATAATATGCTGGCCATTGACGATACTTTCCTTTTATGAACTGATTATGCACATGCTTCCTGCTCTTATAACAGGATGTTTGTCTCCTTCTAATTAATGGGAGTTAGCCTTTCACAGGGTAACCCTAAAGTGGTCAAATACGTTTCAAGTAACCATACAGGTATATTTTTAATTGGCTGTACAATACACAGCAGCCCAAATTTAATTTTACGTTAGCTGGTTGCAGATTCTCTTTCTCTCCTCTAAACCCTCCAAAACAAATAACAAACAAACAACAGCCAACTTGGAACACACAGCTTAATAGGTTTTTAAAGACTATATCCATTGGCTATGTTCAGATCTGGTTTACTATTCAGTTTTTATAAACTAGGTTAAACAATAGTCTTGGAATATACAAATCCTTTTCTGAGATGTTGAACCAATTACTACTGCTCAGATGAATTAAAAAAAAAACCTGACTGAAGCCACTGCCCAGGGAGACGGGGTGCCACCGACGAAGC